AAGCTGGCTGAGGAATTCTGGGAGTTGAAGTCCACAAGTCTTAAAGTGGCCAAGGTTGGAGACCCCTGCAAAGCACTATAAAGCAGAATATAAGTCTAAGTGCTATTGCTTCCTTCCTTCCTTTTTTCTCCCTCCCTTTTCTCTCCTTCCTTCTTTCCTTCCTTCTTTCCCTCCCTTTTCTCCTTCCTTCCCTCCCTCCCTCCTTCCTTCCTTTCTCCCTCTCATGGGTTAGAATGCAGCATTGCAGGTTGAGAGTCTGCCCACAGCCAGAAGTTCAAATCCCACCACAGGCTCGAGGTTGACTCAGCCTTCCATCCTTCCGAGGTGGGTCAAAGGAGGACCCAGATTGTTGGGGGCAAGAGGCTGGATCTATAAACCGCTTAGAGAGGGCTGTTAAAAGCACTGTGAAGTGGTATATAAGTCTAAGCGCTATTGCTATTCAGAAATCCTGAGCCAACCCTATTCACAAACAAAAACACCTTCCTCTCCAGGTGACGGGATCAAGGACACCCCATTCACTGAGAAAAGTGGAAACCATGCCAGTCCATTAAGAAAGGCGGGCTAGAGGCAAGCGATAACACCATGTAAAAAGGATGTTGAGACTCTCCAGAAAGAGTGCAGAGAAGAGCAACAATTAGGGGACTGGAGGCTAAAACATATGAAGAACGGTTGCAGGAATTGGGTATGTCTAGTGTCTAATGAAAAGGAGGACTAGGGGAGACATGATAGCAGGGTTCCAATATCTCAGGGGCTGCCCCAAAGAAGAGGGGGTCAAGCTATTCTCCAAAGCACCTGAAGGCAGGACAAGAAGCAATGGATGGAAACTAATCAAGGAGAGAAGCAATTTAGAACTAAGAAGAAATTTCCTGAAAATGAGAACAATTAACCAGTGGAACAACTTGCCTCCAGAAGTTGCAAATGCTCCAACATTTTAAGAAGAGATTGGATAACCATTTATCTGAAATGGTATAGGGTTTCCTGCCTAAACAGAAAGGTCTCTTCCAACTTCTGTTCTGTTCCATTCCTATTCCTATTCCTATTCTATTTTAAAATCAATTACACATGCAGGATTAGGACCAAGGAAGTGATAACTAAGACCCATCATGAGCCTTTGCAGAAACAAGTAAAACTAATCAAAAAATAAAAGTGCACAAGGCAAAACTCAAAATTACAAAATGCTGGAAACTATAAAAATCCTTGCACTCATCAAGCTAATTTGTCAGCCGTCCCAGAATTGCTTGCTGTGGTTCTGCTCATCAATAAACCAAACCCTTCTTTCCAATCAGCCTCCATTTTATTTCCAGTGATTTTCTCCCCGCTTGGAACTCAACCAGGTGGATTTTCCTTCCAACACTCCTTTCCTGCCTGTGCCTCCTTTCCTCTCTTAGCCAAGTGCTTCTTTTGAGGAAGTGGAGCAGGGCCAGCCTCTCTCGATGGTTAGCCGTTTGCCCCTTTGTGTAAACCACAAGCGGTGGGAAGGGAGGGGCGGGAATGAGGCTTCCTCCTTGGCTGCCAAGTTCTGAAGAAACGGCTTGCTTAATATAAAAAAATACTTAATAAAATACTCCGGAAGTTGCAAAAGATCGGGTGGAAGGAGCTGTGGGCTCCAATCAAAGAGGCACCGAAAGCCGGGAGAGTTGCGAGAAGCTGAGCTAAGGGTGGATCCACCCTGATGGCCAAACCTTTGGAAGGAAAGAGTGTCCCAGAATAAACCAGGGATTGAGTTGAGTGGGGCCTTAAATTGAATTTGCGGAGTCAACAGCCCCTCTGGCAGCTTGCCATGGGGAGCAGCAGGCCGCCTCTAACTGCTAATCCCAGATTCGGATCAACTAAGTCACTTGGGATGTAGTCTAGAGAATGAAATATTTGGGGGGATATTAAAAAGGCAGGAAATAATATTTCCCCTAAAGTAGAAATGGGAAAAAATCTTGAGGCAGAAACCATCCCCAGTTTCCCTGCCCCAAGCAGAAACTGAGGAGGCCAGCTTTTAGAAATGCAGATTTGGTGATGCCTTCAGAAAGACTGGGTCAGACAGAGACTCCAGATAAGCAACACAATTAGGCAAGCTGTAAGTGACAAGATTATCTCAGATAAACACCTAGGATTTGCACATCTCTTTCTGCCTGTAGAGTCAGCCATGGGAATTTGACAACAGCCGTAATAGAATATTAACGGACATGTTCCTGCACAGGAACAGGAATCCCAAATACAAAGCCCAAAGAAGGTATAAAAACCCACCCACTCTCAACTCCATTTTGTCAGCTGAGGTTGTTTCTGTCACCCAGTCAGAGCTGAAGAAGCTTCTGGGATGAGAAGTTGAAACGTCTTCAAAGGAAAAAAAAAACAAGAAAGCCCAGTTGCCTCTTGAAAAAAAATGCCTTTGGGTCAATCATGACCTGGATGACTGAGAACCTCCATAGACATCAAGCCAGGGGAAAATATACCCAAAAGAAAATCTTAAAAAGCAGGGCCACCATACAGGTTCTTCTTCAGATAGGGTGACAGTATGAGCTGCCACACAAGAACTTTTGAGCCCCCTCTTTCTTTGACACCCCTCCCTGCTCCTATTGGCCAGCCCCTTTTCTCTCTCCCCATCCCTGAGAGAATTCTTGGAAATTGGTTCTTGGTTCTTGGAAATTGTTAAGGCCGAATCACACTTCCCAGCTACTCTGCCCAAGCTGAGTTTTCCCTGCAAGATCAAGTGGGGAATAATCCCTCTCCTGATTTCCAGCAGTAAACTCATGGCAAGGTGGGGCTGCCTTTCTGCGATGTATGCACTGACTTGTAATCCTGATTTTTAGAGCAATGAAATATGTGTGTGTGTGTGTGTGTATGTATGGTATTTTAGGTTTCTTTGGGTATTTTCCCACGTCTTAATAGTGCTTTAAAAGTGCTTTAAAAGCACAACTATTAAGACATGGGAAAATACCAGAAGAAACCTAAATACCATACATACATACATACATACATACATACATACACACACACACACACACACACACACACACACACATACACACACATATATATACAGGGGTGGGATTCAAATTTTTTAACAACTGGTTCTGTGGGAGTGGCTTAATTGGTGGGTATGGCTTGGTGGTCATGTGACTGGCTGGGCGTGGCCAACTCAACATCACTCGCATCGAGGCACTCATCTCCTCACCTGGCCTCTCATGACTGTGGGGATGCTGCAACAGTCGTAAGTGTGAAAAACGGTCGTAAGTCACTTTTTTCAGTGCCATTGTAACTTTGAATGGTCACTCCACACAAGCAAAGTACCAGCAAAGGAAGGGAAAAAAACTCCAGAGAAGTTACTGAGACAGAAAGTCTAGTCCTGCCAAGAATGTAATAAGAGTTAATGGAGAGGCAGTTTCTTTAAGCAACACCAGAATGTTTCCTTCCTGCCTTCCTTACAGGATTAGCCCAGTAATTTCTTCTAACAACCGGTTCTCCGAACTGCTTAGAATGTTAACAACCAGTTCTAGCGAATAGGTGCGAACCTGTGAAATCCCACCCCTGTATATATATATTAATATAGTACATGTTTTATTGGGAAGAATCTCCTGGGCTTTCACAGAAAGCAAATATTTGGTCTGTGGTTGAAACTTAAAATAGGAACAGGAACTTTAATTTATTGTCTCTTTTTTTATAGAATGCAGGCCCAGGAAACCTGCCCACCCAGTTCCAGAAGGCCCCTCCTGATTTTCTCTCTCTTTTTCTCTCTCTTCCAGAAAGTGATGCAGGTTGACACATTGCCTCAGATCCAAGGAAGAAGAGAGTGATCATTCCAGTTGTTCCAAACACACAAAAGAAACCCCACATTTTTCACTCCATGAGAAACGTCAAGTCACTGTTGTACAAAGCCACAAATCATTACATGTCAAACAAGCCTTAACTGGCAATGCTAAGCTATCTCGGCCTTGGATAGTTAGATGAGGGATGGAGAAAGATTTTCTTTGTGGCCAAAAGAAGAGACCAACCAGCAGTTAAGGTGGCCGAAAATGATCCTGGCATGAAATGTGTTGCCTTCATTGGTGATTTCTATCCTGAGAGATGCAAAATGCTGCAAATGATGTTGTCTTCATTTAGGGTGAGCAGAGAACGTTAAAGGCAGCGTTTGTATTTTTCCCAAGCTTGTTTGCCCATCCCTCCCATCAACATGATCTGCGATAGCAAAACATCCATCCGTCCATCATTCCCCACCACATGGGCTGCAGTCTGAGAGTGGAGATGACTTTGGACAGATCAACCGTTGAACCATCTGTCAAAACGTCGTACAATTATTTTGTGTGCACGCATTCAAAGGGAGCGTGCGTATCAGCTGATATCAGCTAGTAGTTGGGCTTTGGGAGATGTGGGTTTAGCACTCTTTCAGGAAAGCTCTAAACCTGGTCTCAAAAACAGCCCCGACAGCAGCTGACAGGTGTAGGGAGAGGAGGGCCATGAAACAGCAGTAGTCAAGTCATCTCCCTCTCCCCCTCTCCCTCCCTCCCTCCCCCTCCCTCCCCCTCTCCCTCTCTCTCCCTCTCCCTCCCACTGTCCCTCCCTCTCTCTCACCTGTTTCTCTCCCTGTCTCTCTCTCTCTCTC